AGGGGAGGCAGAAAGGGGATGCTTGGTGAGCCAGATAGAGAGCCATGCTGAATGCCCAGGACTGCAAACTTTCAGGGAAGAGAGAGTGCTTCACTGAAGAGGTGGTCCGTGAGGTGAGGGCTGCTCTTAAACGAGCCAAGAGGAGAGGGGAGGGCAGAACACCAGAAATGACATGCTGTAAGTACTTGTGAAATACATCATCCCAGCCCCTCAAGTCCTACCTAGGGGCTTATCACTCATCCCTCCAGCTCTGTAGAGTTGGTCCAAGTTGGCATTTTCAACCACAGATATTAATGGAGCACTTATTATGTGCTGCACCCTGGGGAAATAAACATGAGTAAGTTTTGATCTCGTGTAAAGTTCCTTGTGTGGGAGGCTTTCGAACTACAGCTGCTTTGGTGAATCTCTGATATTCTGGTTCAGTAGGATTGGGCTGGAACCAGGCCTATCTGTCCTTTTCAATAACTGCTTAGGCGGTTCTGACACGCAGTCTTGGTGAAGAATCTCAGGCTCATGAGCAGGTGTAGTCACTGCCTCTTTCCCCTAACTCCCATTCCCCTCCAGTTTTTGTCTTCACAGTTTGCTCTCCTTCAGACCCAACCAGGTGGATGGGATGGATGGTTGGGATGAAGATACTTGTCTACTCTTGGGACAGTGGGTGGACACACTGATATAAATACACAACAGGAAGGTTGGTTTTTATTCAAAATAAGGACGAGGCGAGATTCTGTCCCGATAAGAGTTGGCCAACAGTGGGACAGCGTCCTTCAAAGTAATGAGCTTGCCACTGAGGGAGGGTTCCATGGCAGCCGCGCGGCCAACTCCCTGAGCTGCTACAGGCAGAGCCCTTCCCTGGTGGGCTTGAACTGCCGTCGCTCAGCTCCCTTCAGGGGAAGAGGAAGCCACTCCAGTGTTTCTTTTCAAATCGTTCCCATCCCATTTCACCTTCAGAATTCTTAATGGCTCACGCTGTATCTGTCAGAGGTGCTCATAACACTCAGGATCCACCTGCTGAACCGGGGCCACGCGTGTAACAAGCGGTCTGTCTGGAGTCTGCCGACTGTGCAGGCGTCGAGCTCATCCTGCTGAATTTTCCTATGGAGCCAGTTCTCCCCGCAGCCAGTGTGTGAGTTCCTGTGTGGATGTGTGTGCGCGCGCGTGTGTCCGTCATGTCTGTGCTTGCACATGAGTGTGAGTGTTGTACCTGGAGTTGCAGCTCAAAGTAATAGAAAAGCAGTTTGCTCATTGGGGTGTGTGAGTGGAGGGGGAGCTGTGGCCTTGGTTACCGAGAGGGCTGGTCCCCGCTCTTGTCTCCCACCTCCCTCTCCCCTCCTCCATATCCCCCCCGGCCCCAGGCTCACTCCTTCAGGTTAATTTCCCCGGTTGCAGCTGTGCCTCCATCCCCCGCCTCCCCCTCCTCCCTCCTCCATCTACCGCACACACGGGCTTTGAGTTATGTGCCTCCTGTTCTAATGAGATAAACAACATAACTCTCACGAGGCTCTGCTCATCCCTCTATAAGTGGAACTCCAGGGCTGAACGTGTTGGCCCTATAAAGGCACCCTGGTGCCTGTCAGCTCAGGGAGGAGGGCAAGGAAGGGGGCGGGAGCCCTGAGAGAGTTCTTGGGGCCATTTGCTTGTTGATACCAGTCGAAGCAGACATCAAAGGGAGGCCTGTTTCCATCCTTGTGGCTAATGGAGCAAAGAGCAGCCTTGTCAAGCTGGTGGGGGCCTTGTCCTGCCACGTGGGCAGAGAGTCCAGGCTTGTCTGAGTCAGCTAGCTCATGATAATTAATAACTGGCATTTGTATGAGGCTTCATGGTTATAAAGAGCTTCTTGAATATCAGCTTATCCCCATGACAGTCCCTGTAAGGTAGGTATTACTAACACCCTTATCTTACAGGGGAGGTGATGGGCTCAGAAAGGTGTGGTGAGATTTCTAAGGTGACAGAGAATGGGTTTCGAGGGCCTGTGCTCTTCCTCTCAACTGTGGAGCTTCTCAATCCAAAGTTTAAGAATGAAATAGACAATCCCTTCTTCTAGACATTCAAACTTCTTCCTAAAATGGACTCTCCCCGGAAGGTGGACCTGCAGCTACAAGCTGAGTGGCCCGAGGCAATCTTGGTGCCCCTGACCCACAAGTGCAGTGACCACATTCTCAGGGAGGTCAGAGGAACTGGACAAGTGTCGACAGTTTCGACTTCTTATCACTTAGTATTACTTGAGTATGCAGGTCTAGACCAGTTCCTTCTCACTCGCCTGCCTTTGGTCAGGTTGGAAATACCAGTGAAGTAGCCTGTGGGACCAGAAGGAGTCTAAGACACAGATTCCCATCTTGGGGTGGGTGAGGTGGGTTCTGTGCTCAGTTCTGAGCTCTTCTTCTGGGGTCCCTCTTGGATGGTTTGGATGTGGGTGGAGGACTCTCCTGGAGCCAGAAACAGCAAGGCCAATGGTCATTCCCTTCTGCATTTCCCAGGCTGGTTCTCTTCTGGTTGAACCAGTATTTCTTGATGTACCTTCCAGGCACTGTGCTAAGTGTTGTGGATACTCGAGATGGACATGGCTCCTGCCATCCTGGATCTTATGAAACTAGTGGGGATGACCGTCTAGTAAGCAGGCAATCAAAGAAGATGCTTTGGGAAAAATACCGGGAACCCACTGGAAAAACCATTAAACCAGTCTTGGTACATGAGAGAGAACACCCAGGCAGTGACTAGCTGATGCTTAGACATCCAGAGGTTCTTTGTCAGATTTGGTAACAATCTATAAGTTTCTTAAAAAGACAGAATCGTTCACTTTTCCCTGCCCTGTCCCCTGCCACCTATATTCAGATTGGGTAGGTCTGGCATGGATTTTGAGCATTGGTGGTAATAAATTCTCCAGGGGATTTTTGGCTTCAGCCTGGATTAAAAATCACTAATACAAGAAGAGTGGGGTTTATGGGACTAGTTCTGGGATATGGAGCAACAGACTAGCCCTTGTACTTGACCTTCTCTGGAATCCTGGGGAACACCAGCCTCAGAAGTGGCCAGACATCTGGAAGGGAATCCGACTCAGTGTATGCATTTGAGAATTCTAGGATGAGAGGTGCCGTGGTCCTGGAGTGAACCACACCGGAAACGTCAAACTATTCCCAGTGATGCCCTCCTCAAACAGAGGTCAGAACTGGACCTCACATGAGACGGAGACCAAGCTTACTTTTTCTGATTGATTTCTATAAACCAGCCAGTCTAGTCCTCCGAGTCAAGGAGCTCAGAGCTTCAGGATCCTTCTACTGTGCAGAAGACCTTGCAGTTATCAACAAAATCAAGTATTAGAATGACTCTAGGGTGTGATGGGCCCTTAGCTCATAACATCAGAGATTTTTCCGGAGCCTCTAGGCTCCATCACCCTCAATGGTTTCTAAGAATCAAAAGGTAGGGGTGGAAGGGTCAGGACTCCCAACTTGTTCACAGCCTAGCAACCTGTGGGACCAGCTGTGTGATTAATAATGAAACTTAGCACATAAAAAGAATTTGAAAATTTTGTTTCCTTTAGTGCTGGAATAGTTGCCTCTACTTTGGATCCAAACCAAATGGGTAGAAATGACAAGTATGAATGAAAAATGAATGGATGGATATATAGCAATAAAACTTTTGTAGATTTTTCTCTGGAAAGTGCAAAAATGAAGCCAGTTTTTCTCTTAACTTTTAAAATTGGAAGACAGCAGATGGGAACAGGGTTGTGATGTTTTCTCAGCCCCATGGTCCTAGGCCGAGGAAGTGGCCCTCTCATGGGAGGCTGCCTGCATCTAACAGTTGTCACGTGCCACGTGTATCTACAGAAGACTGAGTTGTGACTTTGATGAAAGTGAACTGGAACATTTCCGTTCATTCATTCATTCAAACAGCAAATGTTTAGTTTGATTCTTCTCTGTGTTGGGCACGGTTCTGGCTCTGGGGATTCTGACGTGAGCAAGACAAGGTCCTGTCCTCGCGAGGCCTTTCACTCTGGCGGGGGTGGGTCAGTTGGCTTGCTGGTTTATTAGGGGGTGCATTGGGCAGTCTTCTTAGTCTGCAAATGACCTGACCAGTCTTCAGCCCTCTTCCTCTCCCCTCAGCCTCCACCCTGCCTTTTTCTCTGGGAATAGACCATGGTCTAGTGTGGGGAGTCCACGTTCCTGCAAGGCCTCTGGCTACCACGCTACACACCACAGGATCCACAAGTGTGTGGCCTGATGAGGAGGAAGGCTCCTCCGGGCTGCTTGGCATGACAGATGATGCTGGTGCGGAACTGTGGTGTCAAAGGCCAAATCTAAGTGGAGACTCCTGTTGGGAGACAGTGTGACACGTTTAAGCCTGGCCACTGGACTCCTGTTCATTTCTTTTTGTGAGGCCCAGGAAAGGGCAGGGATGTACGTCTGCCAGCTGTGCAGGCACGGAGCCTGGTCTCAGGAGCAGGCTTATGTTCTGATGGAGTTTGCACAGGGCTCCCTTTGGCTCCAGTGAGTTGCCTAAAGCCATCAGTGGGTGGAAGAAGCCAGTGGGTAGGAGATCTGGCTCCTTGATCCTGTTTACTTGAAATGTTTCCCAGTCTGGGCTGTCTGTAGGTAGATGGACTGACCTCTGCTGCTCCACCTGGAGGGGAACCTGCTTGACCTGGACAGAGGGGCAGTCGATGGGCAGTAGCTGGATACGCACTGCCTTGGAAACCCCGTGATAAGGTTAAATCTGGAAAAGTCCCTCTTGTGGTTTGAAGGTTCCTCTGATCTTCTTCCTGGGCCAGGAGAGAAGAACTGGTTTTGGTCACAGTGATGGCTCATTTTGGCACGTGCTTGCTGAGACAGCACTGTGGAGCAGACAGAGCAAGGGTCCTGGGGTCAGATGACCTAGATCCTACCTCAGCTCCACCGTCTACCAGCTGTGTGACCTCTCACTGTGAATGAAACAGTTAGACAGGGTTGGTTTCCAAGGCCCTTCCAGCCTGGAGCCTTTAACCTTTACACTGTCTCTGTCCACAGGCCTCGCCCCGGGCCAGCTGTACACGTACCCTGCCCGCTGCTGGCGTAAGAAGAGACGATTGCACCCGCCTGAGGATCCGAAGCTGCGGCTGCTGGAAATAAAACCTGGTCAGTGCCCTGTGGATCTTGGCTGGGCCTGTGATGGGAAGGGTGGGGAGTGCGGGGCTGCTTTGTCCATAGAGCTGAGTTTTCCAGGACAGTGTGTCCACGTGGTGCTCTCAGGAATAACCAGGTCCATGTGCACCCCCCCACACCGGCTTCCCTCTCTCTGGGGGTCTCAGGCCTTCCCCTTTCTTTTGTCTTTCTCTTGCTACCCAAGGAGAGGAAAGCCAGCAGGCGCAGAGTGGGAACGGGCCCAGCAGGAATGACTTTTGCAACAGAGTGGAAGGAACTGCAGCCCTTTAGAGCCGGGGGTACCTTCCTGTGGCTTCGAGTAAAGCAACCTTGTCCCGGACTGTGTGTTTCTAAGGAGGACAGTGAACCCTGTACCCTCTCCCCCCTTACTGTGAATGAACTTCTGGAGCATCTTACATGAAAAGGGCCAGCCACTAAAAACAGAACCCATCTTGGACATGGGAATGTAAGAGTTTCAGTTCAGAGTTTGCCTCTAGGTGATGTTGATTGCTTTGTGGCCATGCAGAAGGAATTGGTTAGTCTTCTTGACTACTGATCTGTTATTACACTTCTGACCGGATGGCCATCTTTAGACCTCGTGGGTTGCAGCGAGGCCAAGGGGTTGCCCTGGGTCCTTAGCTTTAAGGGAACCTCTGGTCTGGGGGATGCCAGAGCTGGGACATGACTCAGAGTGGTGGCAACCGTGCTGTTAAGTGGAACAAAGGCAGAGCTGACATACCCCCTTCCACTGTCACCAAACAACACAGATCTGGCAAGGCTGGTTGCCTAGTGATGTCACCTCACTCCTGCCTTTCCACACTGGCTCCTTACGCTGCCTTTTCTCTGCAATATCTCTGCTTACAGCTGTTGGGATGCTTTCTCACGTTTCCATTGTTAAGCATGCTTTGATTGTTCACTTTAACCCAGATTTCACTTGTGCAAAAGTTTTGTTTGTTAGGGGTAGGTGCTCCACCCAAGTTCTCAAATGGTCTTGCACAATTTACAAACCCTTGCAAAAACTGAGGTTGTCTCAAGCTCCCTGAGATGCAAGTTGTGGGAGAGCCAAGTCTCCCGAAGCATGATAATGTAAGCCACATGTATCATTTTATGTTTTCTAGTCTCAGCATTCAAAAAAAAGAAAAGAAAAGAAAAAGAAACAGGTGAAATTAACTTTAACAATATTCTATTTAATCTAATGTAATATATCATTTCTACATGTAAACAATATAAAAATTATGAATGAGATACTTTACTTTTTTGTTATTATTTTTAACTCCAGTGTATATCCTACACTTTTAACACATTTGAATGCAGACTAACCACATTTCAAGTGCTTGATTGACACACATGGCTAGTGGTGGCCATATTAGTCATTGTGGTTCTAGAATTACACTCAAAGTGTGGTCTTGACTAGCAGCACTGGGACCTTGGTAGAGATGAAGAATCTTGAGCTTCACCTCAGACCCTCTGCGTTAGAATTTGCATTTTATCAGATCCCCAGGACTGCATCCCCAGAATGCATATCCAAGTGTGAGAAACACTGGCTTTGAAGACTTACAGGTGGCGAGACCACCAGTCAGTATGACATGACTCCACACTGTCCCTGTTTCTTTATTAAACATAAATAATTGTCGATATGAACAATTTATTTTGGAGGTGGGGGCTCCCTCCTTACCTGTTCCAGATCCATTGGTCTTGGTCTCTTGGACGTGGCATGGATGAGTGATGAGGTAATCCCTGGTTTGATTCTTAACTGGACCAATTTAATTCTACCCCACTCAGAGCTTTGCAGTAGGTGCTATGGCGAGAGGGGGAGCACACTCCCACTGGCTGTGTGGGCTTTGAGCGAGGGTACTATTCTGTCACTAGTTGGATGTGCATCCATGTTGGAGTATGTGAACCCACTGGGTATATCTCCCCACCTGTAAATAGCACAGTGGTACCTGGGATTCCTAGACAGCCTCGCAGCTTCCTCATAAGGATCAAATGAGCCATGTGTAATGGTATTTGCTTTTTCTTACCCTTTCAATTAAAAATCAAAAAAAATTTTTGAGTAGGTAATACAGTCACATGTTTTGACATTCCAAAGGTATAAAAGGATATATTGTATGGTGAAAAATAAGACGCAGTCTCTGAAGAGGCATCGATAGTACCATGTTTTGGGGGATTCTTCAAGAGAGAGTTCATACACGCACCAGGAATTACATCCATATGACCTTCCCCTCCTTTTTGCACACAGCGTAACCACCTTGCACTTTGCCCTTTCCATTAAAAAATGTGCCTCAGGCATTGGCCGTGTCAATATATAGTTTCCTCATTTCTTTTTCACAATTACACAATATTCCATTGTATGATTGCATATCTACTTATTTAACCAGGCTGTTCCCAATTTTTGTTTCTAATTTTTCCAATTTAACCAGCAATGCAATGAATATTTTACATGTATGTGAGGACATCTCATATGTAACTTGTTAATTTAAATGATTTTATTATAAATACTTGACACCAATTTAGTCTTTATTCTTTTTTAAAGTCTCTTCTTAATATTCATATAAAAAGTATTTATTAAGAACACTTTATATCAGACTTATTGGATGGTCTTCTATAAAATCAAAGACATATAGTACTGTAAAATACCTCGGACATCATTAATTACAATTCTTTATTTCACTGAAGTCCAGACAGGTTGAGAGACTTGCTCAAATTCACACAGCAATTCCTGTGGGAACCGGCAGAAAATCCAGGTTGCTCGATTTCTCTGTTCAGTGCTGTTTCTGATTCCTCATGCTGCTGCTGGTATGCTAACTTAAGTTTCTTTAAAGAAATTTCAACAAGTTTTTTCCCTTAAAAACTTTATTTTATGATTGTAAAACTAATACATTAATTATTAAAATGCACCCAAGAGACGGTTGACATTTCTTCAGTCATAAATGTCAGACACTTAAGTTGGACTACCTTAAGCAAAAAGAGGGAAATAGGTTCATGTAACACTGAACCCAGCGTTGATCTGGGCTTCAGGCAAAGCTGCATCCAGGGGCTCAAACATCGTAGTGAGGGCTTTGTGTCTCTCTTTCTACCTCTAACACTCTCTTGTCCTCATGGGACAAGCAAAGTAGCCACCAGCAGCCATAGACTCAGCACTCATCATACCCAGCAGAAAGGCTGTTCCCTTCAGTAGCTGTGGCAGAGAAGTCTCTGGAAGGACTGATTAGCTGAGTGGGTTTAGGTCTACCCCACCAATTACTGCCACTGAGGAGATGGGGCACTCTGATTGAATCCTCCTTATAATAACCAGTATCTGAACAGCACACTAGTTTACAAAATTATGAAGCATTTTCATTTCTATCACTTCCTTCGGTGATATAACCATAGCTCTGGGAACTGGAGAAGGAATGAAGGGGTAAAAGTGTTATAAGCTCATTTAATAGGCTATTGGCAAAGCCAAGCTGGATTTACTGTGCTGCTCACGAATCTGATAACCTATATTCTCACTATTGGTAGGGACTGAGGCTAGAAGCTGCTTTACCAGTGTCTGGTCCTTTTGTCTACAGACTTTTAACACAGGCCTCCTAGTGCTGAATGTGGAGAGGGTAAAGGAAGACCCTGGGGCTGGCAGTGTGCTGCCAAGTGCCCAGTGGCACCGTATCTATATCTGTGATCACATGAAAGGTTTCTTGGGCTTTGCCTTCACGTTTGGGGCAGAGGCTCAGGTGGCTGTTCCAGGCCTCAGCAGGAAAAGGCCCAGTGTCAGAGATGGCCAGGGACCTGTGGGACGACCCTCTCTGGAAGGATGAGCGCCAGGCTCATTGAGGATGTGCCCTCAGAGGTGTAGCCATATCTCATGGTGGCACAAGACCCTAGCCAAGTCGGGTCCACCCAAGGCAGGCTGGCTGCTCCACACCAGCACCTAGCAGGCGCTGAGAAACAGTAAGCTGTCCAGGGCTTTTCAAATGACAGAGATCCTCCTCGGTGAACTTGTTCCCTCTCTGGGTAATCAGACCTACTACTAAGCCTACTGAAAACAAAAACAAAAGCCCCAAAGCCTTGGGCCACACGTGTGTCGTTTCTGTATCATGTTCTGAGTCTGTACCACTGGGCCGGGCCTGACTCTTAGGATATACCTCCTCACCAGCCTGTGACTGTTAAGTTGTGAATAAAGATGCCTGGGGAGTGTCTGGGAGTCAGTGATGGGGCCCCTCGGGCTCAGACCTCAGAGCATCAGGGCCCGTCTAGAGAACACACAGTAGCGTGACCAAGAAATGTACCACTCTCTTCCTGGAGGTGACACACGTTTGCGTTTGAATTTTTCACACAAGCCAGAGTTTCAGAAAAGGTTCTTCATCCAGGGTCCCAACTAGCCCGTATGGCATCTTTGTGCAAATGTAGAAGGCGGCGCCCCCTCTGGGTGGACGTTTATAAACAGCGCCCCTTCTGGTGGGTTAGGAGAGCACACACTGGCTCTCAGCCCTTTTATGTCCCCCTTGGCAGGGGTCCCTGTGCAGGTACCTACCATGTGCCCACCTCTCAGAGATGGAGGGAGAGGCTGGGGGCCTGCTCTCTTTTGCACACTGAAGTGGAGTTGGATGTAACCTTTTTGAAGGTCAGTGCATAGCACCTATCAGTATTTAAAAATCACATGCCATTTGACCTATAAATTCTATGGCTAGGGAATTTATCCTATAAATTAATATATAGTCAGAATGTATCAGGTTGTCCACTGTGGCATTGTTTGTAAGAACAACAAACAAAGAATGAAAACAACCAGAAGGTGCCTTAGTAGGGGACTAGTTAAATATATAGTACATTCATACACTGGAATACTATTCTGTCCTTTAAAGGAACAAGTAGAAAAAGTGGAAAGACATCCAAGCTATATTTTAAGTGGAAAGAAAGAAAGCAAATTGCACAATATTATGTATAATCCTCTTTGGGCAAACCTTGTAGAAAACTGATAATCAATTTGTCCATCTTGGGCTGAATCTCTTTAAATCTAT